CCCTAACTGACGGCAACAAAAGTCCGACATTATACAATTAAAATAAAGAAGTAAAAACAATAAGTGTGGCTTGATATTGAGTAAGAAAAAGGTTGATAAACGCTGTGAGAATGGGTCTGCGGAGAGCATTTCTCCACGATCCCAACTCGTCGATTACCAACGTTCAGGGAGCTCTATGCAAGTCATTAGCCGCGTTCACACCAAGTACTTTGCCGTACTTAGTGCCGGCACTTGGTGTCCCGGCACTTATTACCCCAGGGCACTTAGTACAGATCGCGTTCACACCGGAATAAGTTCCCTGAGGGAAGATTACGCAAATGAGCCGCTGACGTCACTTCGTCTTCTTCTGCTTTGGGTTTACTGGCAGGCCGCAAACCACTTCACGGCGTATACTGCCACCCGAAGTCCCCGGCCGGAAGTCCCCGGAGTTGGGGACTGGCTTCAGTAGAAGCTGAGTTCCGACTTCCGAGTAAATCGCCAGAACGCCGACACCTCCTCATCTCCACCGCTCCCATGTTTTATTTTGTGTTGCCATAAGTTAGTCTCTCTGCGTTTGTGCACTGGGCGAATGCTAATGCTAATAATGCTAATGCGAGGATAATAAAATGGCGGCTCTACAAAACATTTCAGAGTTGTACGGGGCGTGGTTTGCAATTCGCCCAACCAATCAGAACTGGGGCACTTTTTTCCCCCAGGAAAGTACCATCTCTCAGCAGGCACTAAAAATGGGGGGTAAAAGTACCCGGCTTGAAGTACTCTTTTTGGTGTGAACGCGACATAAGGGGTACTAACGGAACTAAACGCGAAAAGTACGGGGAAAAGTACGGGGAAAAGTACTCCGGTGTGAACGCGGCTAATATAGTTGACAATTGACGCTAAAGGGCCCCCCACTACGTTTGATAGTGACGCCAAAAAATCCTGACATAACATTACTATAGGACGAGGTGGGAGTGAGAATGTGTTGGGAAAATCCTAAATTGTAGGATAGTTTGGCCATTAAAATGCTTTTTGATTACATTTCTAGCAAGAAGTTTATATTGTACTTTTAGAATCCACGTCCAGTGGATGTGTAGGATCCATAGTTTGATAGATATTACGAAGATTATTTGAGCTCCATGTTTTTTTTTACAAAATATTGTATCCATGTCACGTCTTGATGGGTTATTTGTGAATATACTACGTTTTGCCCTGCGGACCAACGTAGCTATTACACGTTTTTTTGTGAGACTGGGTTGATATGTCATAAGTAATCTTCTCTGTGCCAGTATGAGAGTCTGACACAGTGGACCTGGGCAAATCACCATACAGTCAAAACAGCCAGATGGTCACTGATTACAGATTCTGTTCACGTTTCCTCATGAAGGAAAATATCTCCATTCAGCCACAAGAAAGAAAAAAATCCTTTGGCCAGATTTCAGTTCCAGTCGGTGCACACTGGCTGTTTTATGTGTCCGGTGCTCAGTGGAGAGCAGTTAATTGACATTGACTGTGGCATGTCTACAGGACACCGATAGGACTGCTCCGAGAGCACAAAGCCTCAAAGGGCTACCTCAGAGCATGACTGCTAATGGGAATTGATTTATACCTCCATTTCCTGCAGGGAGAATTGAGGACTTTTATTGCAAAGAAGGAGCCAAGACCCTTGTGTGTGCTCAACAGCCAAAAGTGGTGGAAAATCTGCGGCATACTGCAGTTCTGGAACCTCCTGAAAACTTGGTTTGGTGCAATTACTGAGCTGCACTGGAGACATGGCTATGTGGAAACAATGGCACACAAGAAGATTGAAAGAAAACAGACCTAAGGAAGGTATTGGTGTGGGTAATTAGCTATTCCTGAATGGACTAGAAAGGTAGTTATCCCAACAAAAACAAATTAAATTGTAGTTTAAGCCATCCTGTATGGCAGGGGTGGGGAACCTCCGGCCTCCGGGCCGTATACGGACCGCGAGACCATTTGGTACGGCCCTCGAGGTAATTTATAAACACAAACAAAAAAGAAAAAAATTCAATTAAAAGTAATCTAGACCGCAAAAGAATTAAGCAATCGAGTGCCTGTTTTTCCTGGCCAAGGTCAGGGTCCTTGAACACAACACAAGTCTAACGTGTCATCACGTGGTATATGTCTCGTCTGACAGAGGTGCAGTTCTGACGGAGAGCACCAGAACGTCGCTCCGCCACTTCACAAATGTCAGTACCCATAAGGAGCCGTACACATGCCGCAGTTTCTGCGTGGCTGTGTCTTTAGTTGAAAGCCCAGTGGAGATCTGTTCATCTGTCATACTGATCATACAGTCAATAACTTTGTTGTTATTAGCATCTGGTTAGCTAGCTATGCTAACGAATATAAGAAGCTTTTTCTACAACCAGTGAGGTAAAGGCACATCTTTATATGATCATTATAACAAAATAAGAGAATAAAGTAAACGGGTATAAAATACTATATGACAGTAACAAAAAGTTGTTATTAATAAACAAGAATACAGTTTGAAAGGGGAGTGATTTGTAAAATATCCATAAAGAAAAAGAAATCTGTTTACAGTTCTGTTTCATAGGGTGTTGAGAGATGTATCCATAGATCTCTTCATTTTGCTCTCAAAGTGCACCAGATTGATGGTTTTAACTTTTTCCCGGGGGAGCATGCCCCCCGGACCCCCCTAGAGGAGGTTAGGTCCCCCCCCCCACTTAAATCACATGGATAGGAAACTAAATACATTTGCACACATCTTGTGTCCATATCTTTCTGTTTTGGTGGTCATGCCACACCGTGCACGTGCATGCATACGCGAGTCATGGTAAGATATCTGGATTAAGAGGTTGCTTTTTCTTTGCACACATGAAAGAAAGTCGAAATGAATGGCCTGTGATTTTAGTATTTTTAAGCAGGAAAATAGAGAGGGTTGTGTTTTCTGACACTTGGTGAGTTCCCTGGAACACCGGGGACACATATTCATGTATAAAAGACGTACAAAAGTGCATTTTGCATGATAGGTCCAAGGACCTATCATGCAAAATGCACTTTTTTAGGTCAGAGAAAGTCGGCCCAAGCAATCACTCTGATTGGCTGTTCACACTACCGCTGCCTGCTGGTAAGGACAGTTATTGCCACTCGTCGACTGAAGTATTTGCGGTGTGTTCGTAGGCGGGCGGCGTAGCGGGCGGCGTAGCGGGCGGCGTAGCAGGCGGCGTAGCCGACGCAGGCGACGAAGCTGACGTAAAAGTCGGGATGCCTTCGGTACGCGTTCTTTGGTTTCAGGTGGGCGTGTAGCGGCCTTAACAATCATGAATTTGCCGTAGTCAACTTCATTAAAACTTTATTAACGTGCCTAAACTCAGTAATTCACTAAAAATAGGTTTATTTTTAATGGAGCCTCGTCATCTTCCCACGGGCGAACAATAATATGTACAGTGTTATTAATAGTTTACTGTATTATTAGTGTTTAATATTACTGCTATAACAATCACACATTGAGTTCATTGTTGTGCAATGTTAAAATCAGACCGTTGTTTTTTTAAATAGTCTGAATGAAAACGGCAGCTCTCAGGTGAACTCATATGAAATAAACAGCTGATTCCTCACACACACAGTAGCCTGTTGTTTCTATGCATACAATAGTGAGAAACATGCCTCTGATTAATAATGATATCACTTATTTTCTCCATAAAAGCTGGTGGGTTGAAAAAGCAATACGGGAGGTGATTTGAACAAATGGGGACATTTGGCAACGCCCTCTCAGGAAATAGTGGGAGGGCTTTAATCTCCCAGCCACTGGGATCCACTGGGTTTTCGGATGGAATCCGCTGGGTGGAGTCCTATCTGGAGTGCTACATCTGTATGCATAATAATATATGCCAAACTGACTGTTAGTCTTGCTTATTCGACTTAGATCTGAGGAAAATGTCTTGGGATCTTGTGTATAGCTTCATTTTCTGTTGGGGGTTAGGCGATAACTTTCCTTAATAGTCAAAACTTCCATTGTCTTCACTCCTGGTATCATGCTAATAAAAACAACCCGTCCCTGGGATGGAGGTGTCTCTGTTTGAGTAACTGGTGGAGCATAAATCACTCAACATCTGTTGGTGAGAAAGACTTTGTTTCCCCCTGCTCAGCGAACAACATGTGCTGAAGCTTGACAGCAAATCAAAGTTGTCAGGCAAATGAAAATACTTATTTATGTAGCGACTAAACCCTTAAACACATTGAGAACAATTGTGCCTTTTTGTTGAACACAGTCGTACTGCAAATAACATTGCAATGACAACTAACCTTTAAAAGTGATTTATGCGTGAGTGGAAAGTAAATAAATGACAAGCTTTACACAGTGCATGCTGAAATGTAAGCCAGCAACCTTTTGAAAGAACCTCATTTAAAATGCAAACCAAATCTCTGACAAGCAACACACCCGAAAATGTCCAAGCATCATAATCAACTAATTTAATTTGAATGTCGGCCTCCTTTTTGAGCTGGAATTAAACCCCACTCTGAAGTCATTGCCATCCCTAATTCTTTCTTGGCGTTCATCCATTATCTTTTTTTGTGGAATGGTTTGATATAAAAGGTTATCACAGAGCCACTTATGACAAACAAATTGCTGTGAGAGAGACGCTATTTGCTTCACTTTGATGTCCCTGTGGTTTACTCACTGTGACACCAGTCTGTTTTTTTTTAAAACCCCTCCAATCACGATTTGAATAACACAGTGTTTTCTGTTTACAGCCCTTTTTGCTTTTATTGAATAGATAGATAAAAATGTTTGGATAAAAAGTAAATGTAAAAAAACAGCACAACAGTCACGTTGAGATGAAAACAGGATCGACTGACAGAAACATCAACATGTGATATACATTGAAGGTTTTGTTGCACATATATTTCTCTAACGAATGCCATGCAATTGGATCCTTCTGACAAACCAGAAATACACCGTACGTCACTACCTCTGCTTTCATGTATTGTTTTTTCCTTAGGAGCAGCAGCCCGTTTGAATGCAGAAACACAAGACGATGAAAAATTATATGAAATCACTTTATTCTCAGAGTGTGCGGTGATTCCACTTTTGCAGGAAAGTTACAGACTGAAATATCTGTCTAAACGGCATGCAGTGAGGCTTACAGGTGGAGCTTTGAAACACAGAGAAGACACAAAACGATCATCAACGACCTTGCCTACATCGCACACCATAAGCATGCATACATTTTGTCAACAAATAGGGAGGGTGGGAGGGAGAAGGGTGAGAAGATTTTCGCAGTACAAAAAGAATTCACCAACTCAAATGATCTTTATACAAAAATAACAACCACCAGAGGACGGAAACAGGACCGGTTACAGACAAGGAAAAGGAAAAATACTTCACAAGAGTAAGCATCTTCTCAACACGTACAAAACAGAGAAAGACAGATGCAAGGAGAGAGAAACATCAGACAGTTACATTCAAGTCACATCAAAGGAGTAATTTTTTCATATATTACAGGCAGTTTTTAATTATATTAATGGCTGTATGAGCGGCACACACAAACACTGCTGTGGATTTCTGACACTGGACGACTACATATTGATCACGCATGACTTGGGCAGTTGATTTGGGATTTATAAGCCATTAAGAGCGCAATCAATTGGCATTTACAAGGTTTCTGATGGCGTAGGTGTATGAGATGCAACGTGTGAGCTAACTTCAAAGCACACCAGTTTGGAAAAGACTCGTTGGTGGCCTGAAGAAATGCACACTGATAATGTTAAACGTTTTGTCACTTGGAAAGTCCTCTACTTGGGTTAACTGGGCAGTTATCTTAGCTTTCTGGAATATTCTCGGGTCAAACAAAAGATAGATAATTCATAAATAAACGGTTTGTGTAGGCTTGTGAAACCCCTGGCAATGAAATTAGAGTTCAAGGCTAATTATGCTAACAGAAGGCTAGTCATGGTTATGTCTATGCTAAAGTACCTGAGAATTTCAAAATAAATAAGATGCTGTAAATAAAAAAAATGCAACCTGTTGACTAAATCTACTACTACCAGTACTATTCTTTGGTTTGATTGGAGAACTGCTCTGATAATGGGAATTGAATGTGGTTGATGTTTGATTTCAAAACCGCTAACAACAATCGGGCACCAACTAGCTGCTAACGCACTAAACGGATGCTAGCAAAGGCAGTTTACAAGTACAATAAAATCACAAGAAGTTCAATAAATGTGCCGTATAGGAGACCTTGGATGTTTTTTTTCTATTTTCAACACGATTACAGAGATCACAAAGCGTTAAAAAAAAGCTACGTTTCCCTCGTCTATGCTACAGGAGTGCACAAGTTCAGTGTTATGTTTAGCTTGCTGAATAAAAACAGTGATAATGTGGCAAAAAAGCTGATTTATAAAACCTTAAATCACGGCTACTGTGCTCATGTGAATCACAAAAACATTTTCTAATAAAGTTGTACCACAAAACTGATCTCTGCTAATAGCACATTTACGCTTTCCCTTAAACTTCAAGTGGGATTGTTTTTCTGTACGTTGCAGCTTGACTTGGTCGAGTCATGAATCTAATATTTGATTCATTCTAGTGTCTATATTTCAGGTTATATCAACATCCATTTTGTTGTGTCATCATGATGTAGGCTAACAAAGGCATCGACTGGGGTCTACTGTAAATATCTGTGGTACCAGAACGAGTCTGGAGGAATGTCAGAAATATCTGGAATGTTTTAACAAGACACCGTGGAATGAAGGAGAAATAAAAAACAAGGCAAATGGATAAACATTTTCATTTTATCCCCCCTTTAAATTTGTGCCATTTATCAGCAGGACAGACTGGACTTAGGTACTGTAAACATTTTCTATTGTACGGTCATGACGCTTTCTTGCAAGAGTTTTCTTTATAAAGCCCCTCGTTATTTCATCTAAAGTATTTTTTGTGTATTGTTTATTTCTGCCTGAGTGGCACAGATCCTGCTTGTGTTCTGCATTCTTTAATATGTGACTAACGTTTTTTTTTACGACACGAAACAAATCATCCCACCTTCCCCCCATTCTATTTTTTAATCAAATATGTCAACTCTAAAAGGCTTTACTGTCACTATGCAGACACGTTAGTGCCTTTTTAATGCCAACGAACACATTTAGAAGTAATTTTAAAACACACAACAATGAAGATTGTCTGTTATTGCTGATTTGGGACACGAATCCCATCAGTTCAACCAACGGACACAGCACAACTTCATCATTTCGAACGATATATTGCACTATTGTCACTGTCTGTTCACATATAGTGTGTTCACAACGTAGTTTGTGAAATGTCTTCTTTTACAAAAATTGATGGAAATGTCAACAAAATGAAATGAAAAAGCCTGGTCTAAGACGTACACGTCCTACTGCAGAAGCAGAGCGAGCCACGGGACATTAAAAACACAAACAAGTGAATTTATAATTTTCCTCTCACTGCTTTGAGACAAACATCATGTATGGAGAACATTTATAGTTTTCCCCATGGAAGAACATTTCAGACACAAAGTCAATTATCGCCTCCTGTACATGGTGGATGAGATGTCAATTTAAATAACAATGGAAAACCAGTTATTGCCTCAAATATCAATGTATTTCACTTCATTAAAACAAATGAAATGGTATCCAAATGTGTACTTTACTTCACAAAAGTTGACTGCATGCTTCAAAAAAAAAATAACCAATAGAAAAAAGTCCCATATCAAATGAATTCCTTCACTTTCTGCTTTTACACGTGTTGTTTGCAGTTTACCACGTTACACATTCACGATACACCTTGGACAGTATATGGGGTGAATCCTCACAACGGAGAACTAATAAAAATGTATTTATATACACTATATGTATCAAATATTAGCAAGAAGAACAGAACAGGAAAATTCAATCAAATTTTTATATGATTTGGATAATTTCTTAAAAGTTAAAAATATGGCTTATACTCTTAGTCATCTTGTTATATGTCATATTTCACTCGTATATAATTCTCTTTTTTATAACCCGAGGCTATTTACAAACAAAAAGGGCGGATGATGGGTGATATCTGATCTTGTTTTGAAGTGCCTGACATTTTGAAAACATGGCAGAAGATTTCCCTTGAATTAAAAAATCTCTGTAGGTGTTACATTCTCCTAATACAATAACGATTATCAACAAAGATGACATTCAAAAGCATATATCACCATCAGAGATCAGCTATTTGAAATCAAGGGTAAACTAATGCTATGTTCTCATTTACAGGACACTTAAAATTGAAAGGGTGGAGAAGTGACTGCAGATTTTGAGCGGGGCAGGGATACGGCAGTTGTGTTTGGTGAACGTTTTTTTATCACATTTCCACCAAAACACTGTTACTTCTTATTGAACATATCCATGAGCGGGGTCGGGATGAATTTCATGACCGTGTCCACGATGCTCTCCTCTTCCTCTTCGTCTCCGCAGCCGGTCGGCACCGCCTTTTTCGGGCGGGTGAGGCTGCCCTCGGACGCCTGCTCCATCGCAGCCGCTGCCTCCGCCTCCTTCTCCTCCTTCTTCTTGATGCCATACTGCGTGGAAAAAGGGAACAAGAAAAACAATCAGCGATGTAAAGCCAAGCCCAGGAAGCGCGCCGGACTCTTGAGGAAAATATTCGTAGTGGCCAAACGGCGGTACTACAATTTCCGTATCAGTCCGTGACGTCACTGGGCCCAGAAATACTTTTTCCCATTGACTAACATTGGGAAAGAGACGTCTGTAAATCAGCGGTTAATTTGTTTTTAACTGAATAAACTACACAACACGAGCACTTTTATAGTCTTTATAAGAATCATTAGGTCCTTAAAGTTGTAAAATGCACGAAAAGCTGAATCGAGATTTATTTTCTCTCTCCATTCATTCTGCTGAGCCGAGAGCGGGGGATCGGGGGGCGGGGCTTAATGACAGGAGGCGGGGCTTAAGGGGAAACTCAACCACGCTCTATGAGTGCACATACGGGTACTTCTGTTCTGACAGCAAGGCATGATGGGTAATCTGTGACGTTTTGCTCTCAAAAATGTCTGGCCACTTTGTCCTCATGCACCAATGAGCAGCTCTCATAGGAAAGAACGAGACCCCGCCTCCCACACTGTATCCAGTTCTTATTATACATCCATATGTAAAGCCCCCGAGGAAATTAGGTTTATTTCCTCTGGGGATTATTTGTTTTCTTATTACACATCTGAGTTAAATACTTGATTCTGATTGGTCAATTTGGACATTCCAGAGCGCTAACAGACCGTTGCTAAGGAGGATCAAGGGACTTTGTGAAGCCATAATAATCTACATAAAGAAGTCAGCTGTGGACCACTAATTAGTTTTCCTCTATCAAAAAAACAAAGTGGAATATTATTTTTTCAAATATATTTGTGGAGAGCTGGAGACTTTGGATTCATGATGGCTAAACTGTCCCCAGTAAAGAAAAGACAAAGAGAGCAAGAGAAGGAAAATGGTTAAAAGACAGAGTGGACATCAGAGAAAACAACAGAAGAAGACAGACAGGAAGTAAACACTAAAGGGAACACTGTATGGGCTCCGTGTTTAAAGACTTTGCATCATTCCTGATCACCATGTAGATGTTTCTTTTTTTAATTAAAGGCTGGCTTGCTGCACATCCCTAACTTAACTGAAACTAATGCACCAACACTTATGGTATAGCTTATTTTTAAGAGGATGCACCTGCAGGTTTCTTGCCGTTTGTAACTTCATGGTTTATTGCACTCATTGTACAGTAAGTCGCTTTGGATAAAAGCGTCAGCTAACTTAAATGTAATACCATTTCTTTCTGAACTACTCAAATTGAGGATGCAAGCTTTGGCAGCAGTAGAGGTGTGTACGGCAGCATTGGTGTAGCAGGGCTCAATGAGGAGGAAGTCATATTTAAACGGACCTACTTATTGAGAGAATGGCCTTGATTGGTGTCCGACTGTTTCAAAACAATGATGCAATCAGCTGACTTTCTATAACCTGAGTGTATGACTTCTGTGTCCTATATGAACTAATGTAATGCTTCATTTAACTGAACGCTTTAATGCTACGTTATTTCCCTGGAGCCACAAGACTCTTAAGTCATCCTCCTCCTCCCTTACACCCAACCTTAACCTTGCAACTGTGAAATTAACTTAAAAGTTTTAATTTCTTTCTCTTGGGGATTCTTTGAGGAGTTAGATGGCATGACAAAAATATGATCCTTATAAACCAAAGCTTCTTGATTTCTATGTTTAGACTACGGCAATAACTTCAACAACAGGAAGTCTCGTGCTTCTTAACTGCTTAAAATGCAGATGAGGTTTGATATGATCATTTCATGTATTTAAGCTTAATTAGTTGAAAGTGATTGGTACTCCTGCAAAATATTTCTTAATTTGCATGAATTAGCTACCCGGCTTCTTCCTCATTAAGTTTTATCACGGTCTACTGTAGCTGTTTGGGTCCTGAAGAGCAGCAGTTACAATCCATTCCTGCAATTAGATGCAGAGCTGTCGCTGAAGAGACATTTGTTTTTTTGTTCATGGGACCTTTTACTGCTCCTTGGTCCAATTTGACCCTTTCTTGATGTTTTATGTTCCAATTACAGGGAGAGGCACACCACACATTTTAATGGACAATGCTAACGATTAGCGCACAGACCCCTGAGCCCCAACAGACTTCCATTAAATCAAGAGTGTGTTTAAAGGAAAAAGAGCACAAAATTACAATTTCCCAAACAAAAAAACAAGACAATAACAGCGGGGAAATGTGTTCACCCGCGCCTTCATTGTTTCATCTCTCTGCAATACTCAGGAAATGGAAAAAACAGCTTCAACTAAAAACTTAAAAACGAGTGAGCGCTAATGGTTTTTCATTAAGAAGATATCACTCTGTTGGCACCATAGATTAAGCATATTATTTGTCCTGTATGTTTCTCCTAGCAAACTAAGCCACATGTAAATCCACAATAAATACATTTCCACATGAAATATGTCCTTGTTTTTAAATAAGCCATCTTCTTGACAGTTGAGCAAACTCCATTTTGCCGTTAAAGCCCATTGGGTGCAATTGAATTCTTGGATTGGACCTCGAATTTAGAATTTGAATGATTTTAATTTTGTCTGGACAGGCAGAGACACTTAACCACTAATGATCAATATCCGTTTGAACATTGCTTCCTTTATTAAAAATAATAAACTGAACTCTGTGGTTGTCCATGGTATGGTGCTGTGCTCAGAGCCTGGAGGCGGAGTCAGGTTAAAAACGATATCACTCTGTTGGCACCATAGATTAAGCATATTATTTTTCCTGTACTGTATGTTTCTCTTAGCAAACTAAGCCACATGTCCAGGTAAATCCAAAATAAATACATTTCCCCATAAATGATTTCCTTGTTTTTATCTAAACCATCTCCTTGACAGCTGAGCATTTTGTTATTTGTGACCAGTTTTGAGGTTGTAAATAAATTATTGTTTTTGGCAACCTTTGTTGAAACTTCCTTTCCTTTTGTTTCAAGAAGGAGCCAGCTTGTAACAATCTGAACAAATGGAAAGAGGATGATATTATTCCCTTACTTCAAGCGAATTGGAAGTTGTAATATCTAGTTTGCTTAATTCAAGATTCAAGGCTTTTATTGTCATGTGTACATAGCTACAGTGTAGTTATGACAATGAAAATCTTAGGTCACAGGCTCCTCCAACAGTGCAACAGATAATAGTGCAAGTAAATAAAATAAAATATAATATAATTGAAATAGTGCAGAATAGTCTATACGTAATTGGAATATTGATATAAGTTGCAAACAGATGAATGTTCTGGATGTTCTTTCAAAAGTTCAGGTGTTTAACAGTCTTATGGCCTGTGGGAGGAAACTGTCCCTGAGTCTGGTGGTTCTGCGTCCAACACCTTAAGTATAGTTTGTGCATGCGTGGTCTTAGTCTGAGTGAAATCAATAGAGTTGCACTGTAGCGGAGCACAGGAAGGTCAGCAGGCGGAGGACGGCTGATTTTGAGGCAGAGATGTGGAAAATGAGCTGGACTCCTCCCTGACCTCGCTGCTGCTCTCACACGCAAACCTTAATGGGATCCTGGAGCAATACATATCTTAAAGGAGGTCTTTTCCCGCTGTGAAGGGTGTTTGGGGGCAGTATGAGCATCTGTGTGTGTTTTCAGAGTGGAGCACTGGAGGATGGTTTGCCAAATGTGATGATTCAAGTCTGCATCGAGGTCAGAAATATCTCATGTCAAGGCAAAATCATCCTTCTGTCAAGATTCTTCTAATAAATATCTCCAAGTAAGATAGGCCAAAGCAAGCTGACAAATAACAGCAGCTCATTTGTGGTTTGAAAGCTCCATTAAATCTGTTTTAGTATTTTCCTCAACACTGAATAACAAGCGTTCATCGTGCAGACGGTGAGACCCTTTGGGGTTTTTCACCTCTGAGTCCTTCACTCCCTATTGGCTAATAAGATGCTGCTTTCTGATCCTTGGTTTAAATTGCCTCCTCAAGAATAATGTATCAGCAATGAAGGCAAAGCCAGGTCAGGATATAAGACTTAAATCAATGCAGGCAGCATTCGATCTGCAGAAAGCCACAGCTAATAAAACCATCAGAGATTATATCTAGTTCTATCTCTGATCGTAATCCAGGGCATTTTATGGCTACTATAACCGCAGACCAGTTGAACGAATTCCCAAACCATTAATTGTTTTATCTCCATGCTTATACTTCAGCTATGGCTATCATACATGCCTCTCCTTTTCAATCATTTTTAAGTTAACATGCGATGTTCCTATCTATAAAATATTGATTTTATTTGATTGATTTTTCAGGATCAGAATCAGAATACCTTATTTATCCTAAGGGAAATCTGCGTTTTTGGACAGTTGAGCGATTTTAAAATAATAGATCAAAAATAATAGAATTCAATAAAATATGGAAAAAATATGAATGTAGGAATTAAAAAACTTGCAATAGAAGATCAAGTTAGATAAAAAAATTACGTACAACATTTAAAAATCTTCACATCACAAAAATATAAAACAACACATATGTTAGAATGCAAGACTGAGGTTATCTTTTTTGGACCCCAACCTCTAGCCTCCCAGGTTGATATTCTGGGCTCCCTCAAAAATAACATCCTCCCCTCTGTCACGAACCTTGGAGTGACCTTCAATAGCGCTTTTAAATTCGATAAGCAGGTCAGCAGCGTAGTCAAAACCTGCTTTTTTTTAAATACGACTATTGGCCAAGACCATGTCGTTTTTATCGTTTGAGGACCTGGAAAGGGTTATTAACGCCTTTGTTACCTCGAGGTTGGACTACTGCAACGCTCGGTACGTGGGTATGGACCAGCCGTCAATTAAACGCCTGCAGCTAGTCCAGAATGCAGCTGCACGTCTACTCACTGGCCACAAAAAGCGTGACCACATCACCCCAATTCTGGCCTCACTGCACTGGCTTCCAGTTCGGTTCCGAATTGATTTTAAACTGCTTTTTATAGCACTAAATGGGCTGGCTCCGGCCTATATAGCTGAACTCCTCCAGCGCTACACCCCAGCCAGAGCTTTAAGGTCTGCTGACCAGCTGTTGCTGGTAGTGCCCAAGACCAGGCCCAAAACCCGAGGGCACCGAGCCTTCGCAGCAGCTGGCCCGAGGAACACTCTGCCCCTCCATGTGAGGTCGGCCCAGACCCTAGGGTTTTTTAAATCTACTCTTAAGACACACTTCTTCTCCCTGGCTTTCTAGTTAGAGCGGAGTACGACTCCTGACTTTTCCCTGTGTTTTTTTTGTTTTTTGTTTTTTTTAATATCTGTTGTAATTTATTGTCTTTTATTGTGATTATAGAAATGTGTTTTTATGTGATTGTAGTTATTACATGTACAGCACTTTGGCCCGACCAAAAATCGCTTTTAAATGTGCTTTATAAATAAAATAAATAAACCTTGAATGTGTACATTAAAAATATATAAAGTGGTGTTTTCATATTAGTAAGGATATAATGGCTTAATACCAGATTATTGCTGGAAATATACAGTAACAATGCTAAGTTTTACATGTGCATTTGAATCTTTTTGCAGATTATTATTAAATATTCCATCATTGAGACGATTATAATCCATCCATGTTTAGAATAATTCCTGTAAAAACATCATCATTAGAAACTTAACATCTTTGCAATTGGACTCTTCCACGTGTAACTTCAACATCAGACAGAACAGAGATGTTTTTCTGGATGTTTGTTGTGATTGTTTGATGGATATCTCTGTATCTCCTTCTGCTCCCTGGTTTGTTCTCTGATTTCCCAGCATGCCGCTCTGTTTCGTTCTCTTGCAATCTGTCTTGGTCAGTCTTCCTCTCACACTCGTTCCTCAGTAACAAACGCGTGCAACACTTGAAGGGAGGATAGTCACGCTTAGTCAGCCTCTCTCCCTGTAATCAAACACTTCCCAAAGATACGCTGTCACACTGCTTCATCACCCTCAACATCTCTTTTATTTCACTGTTGCTTCAAAAAGATTCCCTGGTCATCAGTTTGAGGATCAGCTCTGTATTCAGAAGGGGCTACACATGGAAAACTTAGTTTGAAAAGCCCTCAAAGAGTGTTCAAGTCAAATATTTAATAAAATATTCGTGATGTCAAGAGCAATATTTGGGCTGCAGGGGCTTTGATGCCATCAGTTAACATTTTATTACGGATGAATTAATCGGCACGCAGGAATTTATCAAAGAAAAGAAAGTCTTGGCGAAATAAAAAAGGGTCAGCAAGACGAAAACTCTGTCATAAGTTTTGGACAGAATTTCATCAGATAACTGCATACAGAACCAATCTGCAATGGTTTACAGCTGACTGGATACATGACAAAGGGGAATTATCTGATGTAAGATAGTTGACTTTTTCCTTAAACATAGCAAACCAATGTCTTACCAATGAGTGTTTACATGTAACTATATATTGGCCAATTCATTTCGGATAAAACATATGTGATAACGAAAGTGAGGTTCTTCCGGTTATCCAAATAAACTTCAAACGTTTGCACCGGTTGCTGTTAAGTTTTGTCAGGATCCCTTGGTGTCACATGTCAAACCACTGGGTAGACATACACCTTAAACTATGATTATTGACTATTGCCGCAGTTAACAAGTGATTAAGGATGTCAAATTCAAACAAAATTGGTTAGGTTAAGTTAAATATTCTGGTTTTGGTTAATATGTACATTTGTTTCATAACATAACTAAAAATGACGCAGAAATTGGGTTTACAGGGAACACAAAAAGTCAGGTTTGTTTGACCAATCAATCGAACTTCTTCCGACTTCTCGCTCTTTATTATTCATCTCCTGATTCTGGAGCAAAAGCCCAGTGCTTCTACATAGACGTAATAAAAACTCTTACGGTTGCCTTGTGCATCAGTATTAGGGCCATGACAAAACGTTGGTATATGACGCCCAGGAAATCACACCGGGCTTTTCCAAAAGGGAACAGGAGGCCAGAGAAATCGACCTCTCTTCATGGCGGTGTAGGTGAAGAAGTCAATGACCTTGAAGCAGGCTGCTGTGTCTGTAAATGCTTTGGCTAAACTTGGTGTATGACTGTGTTGTGATTGTGTGTTTTAAAATGGTCTGTAACTGTGCTGTTACCATTCTTGGGCCAGGACTCTTTAGAAAAGGAGATGTTTTATCTCAATGACCTATCCTGGTTAAAGGTGGGGTAGGTAAGTTTGAGAAACCGGCTCGAGAGACACTTGTTGTTATATTCCATGGAATGCTCTTAACATCCCGATAGCAATGAATATTTTAAGTGCTTTGACAATAAATACATACAAAAATGTCATCTGTGGAAGCCGTAGTACTGTAAAAAGCACGACCAATCATCTGAGCCGACCCGGCTGAAATAACTGGATGGCCTACCTGCCTGTCAGCCTTCCATCTGTGCACAAACTTATCTCGTGTCCTCATTGGTCATGTGCGCGTTCGTGTGTGTTGGAGGAGGGGCTCTGTAAGGAAGTGGGAGATTTTTTCCGGCTGTGTATTTTCAAATTCTAGCGCACTCGAGCTTGTTTCTCCAAAATTACCTACCCCACCTTTAAATAAAGGTAGACAAAGACTGTTTCAGACGCTGCCCGAAGACTCACAAAAGCAAAACAAGGATGTTATCTCTGTTTAATTGTGACCTTGGTTAGCTGTATGGAGGTATTTGTCCTTACCTTATCTCTGATCCCCTGTCGGATGTTTTCTCTCTCTGCCTCCATCTTGGCGTACTTGCCCTTCCTCTCGTCCTCCTGTTGCCTCAGCGCTTCTTGCCTTTCTTCCTCTTTTTTCGCAGCGTCAGGATCCTTCTCCTCCCCCTCCCCACCGAGCATCTTGCCCATGTCTTTGGTGGCCCCTGACAGAGGAAGAGAAAGAACAGTTAGAAATGAAAGACATGTCAGGCAGAAATCCTCTAACAAGTGACACCTGATAGATCTCTGTTGCTAAGCATTCGCAGCACACGGTGGTACAGCGAAGATTTGGATAATTCAATAGACATGGCTTTGTATTTCAATCCTCTTTCAGGCCGGTGAAAGAGCAGCACGATCTGTCCTCGGATGAACCAAAGTGTCTTTGTACGACAATAGATGGAACAAGAGGTGAGCGCCACGAACATCAGCCCGGGATAAAAGACACCGCAATAAATTATTAGCAATTCTCTTGATTGCCTTTGTGCTGCTCACTTTAGCCTTTGCTATCTCCAACAGGAATTACCATCCTCTTGTGAAGCGTCCACTCGGACTAAAGGTCAGAGCAGAGAACAAAAAGGCTTCAAGTGCTGTTGAAAGGTCCTCAATAATCAAACAATGGGGCAAACTCTGCTACTGATCTACGTCCACTGTCTGTACTTGTTAGATATGCTCAACAAGAGATCAAGCAAAAGCTATCCACCTACACTGGTTGCTGGTCAAGTTCCGTATATCCTACAAAGTCCTCCTCCTCACCTACAAGTCCCTCCATGCCCTTGCCCTCCAGTACCTATCGGACATCCTTCGCCCACATGCCCCACCCCGGAACCTGCGGTCCTCAGACTCTGGCCTGCTCACCACCCCCCCTCACCAAACTGCGAACCTTCGGGGACAGAGCCTTCAGTGTGGCAGCCCCCACCCTCTGGAACGCTCTCCCTGCGGAGATCCGCAACATCCCCACACTCGACGCCTTCAAAAGGGCCCTCAAGTCCCATCTGTTTGCCAAGGCTTTCGGCCCCTAATCTATCTGTTGGTTTGTCTGTCTGACTTTTGTTTTGTTATGTTTGTTTTTGCCCTATTACTTGTAAAGCGACCTTGGGTCCCTTGAAAGGCGCTATATAAATGCAAGCTATTATTATTATTATTTGATTTCATAAGTTAAGCTCGGTCGATATACAGACGATTAGCAATAACCTTGCAATGTGCAGTATATACTCTTTTGCTTCCTACTATTGTTATTCTGCTGCAACTTCACTCAGCAATAGTGCAATACCTACGGTGGCTGACAGGTGCAAACGGTTACACTTCCATTAGGAGAAACACGCTGCAGTTTCAAAAAAGAGGTGAATATTAAAACCCAAATGTGCTAAAACACGTGCAAAGGAAGAAACATCTTCTCCAACATGACAACAATTGCGCAGAATTTTGAAAACATTCACTAACTTGACGAAACATGCGCAGCGTTTACTAAAAGCACTGCATAAATGAAACGCTGAAAAATGTTTCTACCGTAATATCGACTAAATAGAAAATTGATGAGACCATGTAAAGGGTTTATGTTCTTGGAAATGGAAACCGACAAACACCTTATAGCCTACTGATGTTTTACCCCTTTGCACCTAAGCGATCAAACTTTATTTACAATTTGAACTGCAAAGGCAACCTGTTAGAGCCACAATGAAGTCAACGTTATTATTTAGATTCATAATTTGATAAATGAATTAATGATGTAAAATGATTTATATTGCCATGGTGAATATCTTTTGATGAAATGATTGTTTATTTTAAATCGTAAATATGATCTGTTTGCTTGTACCTTCCGGTGTTTATTTAAGTGAGGTAATTGAGGACAGCCGCGGTGCTCTGAGACCTGATGAGACGGGGAGCGGAACAGTTTTTCGACCGCAAATTGTAAACGAAATTAGTGTTGCAAATTAGACTGCAAAGTATAGTTTATATAGGAAAGTATATCGCCGAAATTATTAGTTAGATTTGTTATTTTGAGACTATTTAAGTCAATACTTTTTTTGTTAATAAATTACATTTTTTGACTGAAAACCTTCGGGTGCTTATTGCTCTGGATTGCGTGTCGGCAACCCCGCTCTATAGTGGCATCAAAGGAAACCTTGGATGCCACTACACAACCATAATCAATCTCTTAAAATGTTAGTTTATATCAAGAACAAAAATCCCTGGAAACATAGGAATGAACTCTGGCGAAGCTGTCTCAGGCGCTACTATCATACTGTATTTAAACTCCTTTCCTGTCAGTGTGGAGCATCTGGTGTGCATGAAATTACATGCTTCATATGTCAACACACAGCTGGTGTGTTCCTACACTTTATCTCATGGGAAATATAATGTATGTATAGTGCCAATCCTGGATCAATTCAATCCTCTATGTGTGGAGGACGGCTGTACAGCCCATCTGACTTCCATGCAGGAGTCCTGAGTTCTCGTTCGGATTTTAAGATGTCTAAACTTAATCATACATGATGTGCCACAACCACAGCCACCCCAACATACTGTAACACGCATGCACAGATGTTGTTGGTGTGTGCACTGTCAACACATGTTGAGCTGTCATAGAATCGGATAAAAACATTTGCTACCATTCACTTACAAAAAGAAAACAAATTCCACAGGGAGAAATAGGTTCCTTCAGAGTTAACATATTGTTCGTCAGTTCCTGAGTGTGTGAGAGAAACTCCCTCTGGAGGAAACAAAGGGATTGTTTAGCCTTTGCAGACCATTGACATACACAAAAACCTATATAACACACTACAGGAAAATCCCAACAAAGCATTATAGGGTCTCTTTAATATAAATGCAGGTATTAGTCTTTTGAGTATAAGCACTTGTAACACCGTAGTTTAAATCAGCAAGTTGCACAAGTTAATCTCGAGTGTCATCCTGAGTGTTGAGCTGCTCCCAAAGTGCTTTTGAACGACACCTCTACACGGCTGTGTGCTCTCACCCCAGAGGCATTAGTTCTTCTTTCCAGCTCAGCGACTGGAATCATCCGGAGCTCTAACAGTGGCCCAACGAACCCTGAACCCACCACCCTCCGCTCACTTCCCACTCGCTGTAGAGAAATTGATTTTAATGAGATCTGGACCTCCTGGAGCCCACTGGGCAAATTTGAAATAGTCTCTCCGTGCCCCGACTACAGCGAACTTCAGCGCCTCTGTCTGCTCCCCGTTGCTGTGCTGAGCCTCGCAGAATCTCCGGAGGAAAGACTCAAAGACACGGCCATCTGCTTCAGCCGTGAAATTGATGAGACAGCGGTGACCTTGAGGTTCTTGGCTGCAATCCGAACTTCCTGTGTTGACAGACCAGGACAAGCCCCGGCCCTTAGTCATACGGAGAGGGTGACTGCTAATTAATAAACAAATATGTTGATTTTTTTTCTGTGTTTTCATTAACTCCTTAGTGTGTAGAAGACATGACCAGTTGACATGTTAAGAATGCATTACATTAAAGCTGTTCTATGTGAATATAACATGGAAAACAATAAGTTGCAGGATATCTAAATAAAGAACATCATCCTGTCTATCGTCTCCGTCTAAATGCTGCGCTCCACTTTTATTGCTTATAAATAATTGATGAAAGCTACTTTACCTACTGTGAATAATGAATGAAGACTGTCTAAATATAAACGATGCTTTCATCTGCAGACATGGTGTCCTCATATCAACCCTGACCAGTCTCATCTATATACACACAAATTGGAAGAAAAAAATGTCTCCATTATTTCTTCATCTTCTTGTGAAGCCTGACCTCCTTGGAAGGGATGAAGATGCATTGCGCTTTCATTTGTAACGCAGTTTCTCTGTACAAGCAGAACCTTATTGATTTACTCTCTTGCATTAACACTTCTAATATGTGGGCGCTGCTGAATAGGAAGAGTGAGTAGATGTGAACCGGACTGATACATTTTTACAATAACCTTTTGAAAACCTACTTTCTTCGACTAAAAAGGATTCAGATAACTACAGTATCATTATTATTCTTGTAAAATGCCAAAACAACTAAAGAAAATGGACGCTCCTGATTTGGAAACTTCAGCATGAGGGAAGCTAATGCTAACTGTCCCGAACCTACACTTGCTAATTCGATTAGCCTCATTGAAAAGATCATAGAAGAGACCCACCGTTATTCGACCAGAGCAATCGACCATGCTTTCAACTGTCAAGTTTGAAACTTCACTGTAAGAAGTGGACTCAATAAGTACTACTCTGAAGATCATCTGTGAAAAGCTACCTATGAGCAATGCTAATCATCGATAGAGACATGATAAGAGTCCAACAGCCACTGCCACAAATGACAAGTAATGAGATCCCGGAGGACACCGAGATGCCCCCATTTAGGGAGGTCCTTGTGTTATACAATATCACTCAGACAACTTTTATAATATGTCTTAAAGAACCTTGTTGTCTATCTATGCTTTGCCCCAGGCTAACAGATCTGCTGAATGGGTTGTAAAGCTTCCCTCTAGCTTTGTTGATGGAGATTTTCAAAATGTTGCATGTAAAGCAATCTCAACAGAAGTAGACTCTGATGGATAATATCCCTCATCCCTCCGAGTAACACGTTATTCTTCTGGCCAGGGAGAACAGTTAACAAGTAAAAAAAGTTTGAAATTAAAAGTTGTTAACCTTTAGAGTCGGCGGATCCAAATGAAAAACGGCACTACATGATCACAAGAGAGTAGAAAGATATCTTACGGAGCTCAAACAAGATATGAGGCATGATCTAATTTCACCTTTTTATTAGAACTGCCACTGGTATTGAACTGTCTGCACAATAACAGGTACAAGTAGGATATTACATTACATTAAATTAATTTGACAATCGGCTTAATCTTGTTTCATTACAATTATAGAAAGAGAAATATGTTCCGTGGAAATCATCCTTAATATCAGACGGATACACTTATTATCTCGAGGTCTACTGCTGATTTGTACCTCTTTGTGACTGATGCCGCTTTATCCCTTGTATTTCACATGTTGCAGTGTTTCTACAGAGCCTCCGCGTGACTAATCTCGATGCTCAAGGCTAATTAGCTCGTCTGATTGTGACAAAGTTGCCGTGCAGGAGCGTGAGACAGTTGTCGTTCCCAAAAGCTTTGGTGCCATCAAACGCTGCCAGCTGTGGAGTCGGGAGA